TGTATTATATATTATATATATATACACATATATTATATATATGTGTATATATATATATATATATGTATATATATATATATATATATATATATGTATATATATATATATATATATATATGTATATATATATATATATATATATATATATATATATATATACATACATACACACTGCCCAGGTCTCCATTCACTGCTGGGTGAAGAGAGGCTACAGTTAAGGAGTTGCGCCAAGGGAAGGGAACTATCAGGGAAAGCGCCAAGCCATTACAACTATATAGCACTGGGAAGGGGTCAGGATAAGGATATGGGATGGGACGGGGGGAAGGAATGGTGTCCAATTACTTGGACGGTCGGGAATTGAACGTCGTCTTGCAGGAAGCGAGACTGTCACTCAACCGTCCACCCGAAGTGGTTGGGTAAAATTTGCGCCAAGTAAATCCTCCCAGGTCAGGATACGAACCCAGGTCAAAGCGCTCGCGAAACGCCAGGGAAGGGTTGTTACCACTTTGCCACGGGAACTACTGTGGGGTATGCTTTCCTGGTTAGAGAAGGTTGTAAGGAACTCCCGGTACTGTCTCTTACCTCACTGGGAGTATAGATGGTAAATTACCGTCCCCTGCTTCCTTCCTGCCCTCAAGCCTACACAGACAGGAACCGCGAGAGTTCTCTGTGGCCCCATAGACGTCACGTCCACAGCTGACAGGAAGGGCCTTTACTAATTGTTAACTGGCAACCGTCCGACAACCTGGCACTTAATTTTTTTAATTTAATTTTTCTCCCGAGTGGGGAAATTATTGGGGAGCGCCACTCATCCTGTGAGTGGACATACCGCCATAGCAGTGTACAACATTCCCCTCCAATAGGTAGAAAACCCGCTGGGTTGTTCATTCTGTCAATTGTACCCAGACACAGCTGGGACTTGCTTAACTGTCTCAAGTGAACAACTTATAAAGCAACAAGATTAAAATTTGTCAACCCTTAAAAACTTATGTTATCTTGCAGGTGCAAAATGGGGAAATATTTTGAGAACATTTATATTTGACAGACAGTATTTTCCTAACTCAATGTGGGGTTCATTCTGCACTCTTTATCTAGATAAACATAGTACTGAAACACTAATGTAATGTTCATCCATAACACTACCCTACCATGGTTACTGATCTGTGGCGCCCCTTATGTTCTTGTGCTGTGGAGGCCCTTATGTTCTTGTGCTGTGGAGGCCCTTATGTTCTTGTGCTGTGGCGGCCCTTATGTTCTTGTGCTGTGGAGGCCCTTATGTTCTTGTGCTGTGGAGGCCCTTATGTTCTTGTGCTGTGGAGGCCCTTATGTTCTTGTGCTGTGGAGGCCCTTATGTTCTTGTGCTGTGGCGGCCCTTATGTTCTTGTGCTGTGGCGCCCCTTATGTTCTTGTGCTGTGGCGGCCCTTATGTTCTTGTGCTGTGGAGGCCCTTATGTTCTTGTGCTGTGGAGGCCCTTATGTTCTTGTGCTGTGGAGGCCCTTATGTTCTTGTGCTGTGGCGGCCCTTATGTTCTTGTGCTGTGGCGGCCCTTATGTTCTTGTGCTGTGGCGGCCCTTATGTTCTTGTGCTGTGGCGGCCCTTATGTTCTTGTGCTGTGGCGGCCCTTATGTTCTTGTGCTGTGGCGGCCCTTATGTTCTTGTGCTGTGGAGGCCCTTATGTTCTTGTGCTGTGGAGGCCCTTATGTTCTTGTGCTGTGGAGGCCCTTATGTTCTTGTGCTGTGGAGGCCCTTATGTTCTTGTGCTGTGGCGGCCCTTATGTTCTTGTGCTGTGGAGGCCCTTATGTTCTTGTGCTGTGGAGGCCCTTATGTTCTTGTGCTGTGGAGGCCCTTATGTTCTTGTGCTGTGGCGGCCCTTATGTTCTTGTGCTGTGGCGGCCCTTATGTTCTTGTGCTGTGGCGGCCCTTATGTTCTTGTGCTGTGGAGGCCCTTATGTTCTTGTGCTGTGGAGGCCCTTATGTTCTTGTGCTGTGGAGGCCCTTATGTTCTTGTGCTGTGGCGGCCCTTATGTTCTTGTGCTGTGGCGACCCTTATGTTCTTGTGCTGTGGAGGCCCTTATGTTCTTGTGCTGTGGCGGCCCTTATGTTCTTGTGCTGTGGCGGCCCTTATGTTCTTGTGCTGTGGCGGCCCTTATGTTCTTGTGCTGTGGAGGCCCTTATGTTCTTGTGCTGTGGAGGCCCTTATGTTCTTGTGCTGTGGAGGCCCTTATATTCTTGTGCTGTGGAGGCCCTTATATTCCTGTGCTGTGGAGGCCCTTATATTCTTGTGCTGTGGCGGCCCTTATGTTCTTGTGCTGTGGCGGCCCTTATATTCTTGTGCTGTGGAGGCCCTTATATTCTTGTGCTGTGGAGGCCCTTATGTTCTTGTGCTGTGGAGGCCCTTATGTTCTTGTGCTGTGGAGGCCCTTATGTTCTTGTGCTGTGGCGACCCCCTCAGTGTTCCTGTGGCCCCGGGTGTTGGTGTTGTCACAGCTCGTATAAGACTTGGCTACAAGTATCTCTGGCAGGTCGGCTTGTATAGGGATCTAGATGAAGTAAAGTGTAAAGTGTGTGGACAAAGACAGGGACACACACTCGAACACTATATCTTGGATTGTAGTAAAATTGAGCCATTTAGAGATAAATCTAAGCTCACTCTGTATGATATGGCAACCTATCTTATTACCATGGATAAATTACCTGCAATCCTTGCACTGTATCCATATTTCGCTCCCAGTACATAAGCGACATATAAGATTCAGAAACAAGTAGTGTATTGTGAGGACTAATAATAAACAGAAGCTCCCCTATGAGTATCTCCATTGGTCAAACAATTATGTATTAGCGATAAGACCTACCATTAATGTATGATGACTTACTGTAAATATATAGCTCTTGAAATAGCACTTTCTATGTAACTAGCTGACATTGTAACTATAAGGTGTGAAGGATTGATGAAATTGTTTATGTAATAATCTAAGATGAGGTCTGATAAAGACCTTTTGTGCCCTCTGTAATGCTTTTGCGCTACCGCTCACAGGATGAGTATGGGGTGCACAATAAACTACCCGCCTTCGGCGGCAACAATCAAATCAATGGGTGTGGTGAGCGTGTGGAGGCATACGATGAGCGGGCCGGGGCGGAGGAGCGGGGTTCCCAGGTTGTGAACACTGCTGACTGTGGGTCAGGGGCCGCCCCACCGTGACGCGCTCTCCTGCTTATGTGCCCCGCGCGGTCTCTCTGCTGGTGAGGAGGTGACCCTATACACACACACACACACACACACACACACACACACACACACACACACACACACACACACACACACACACACACACACACACACACACACACACACACACACACACACACACACACACACACACACACACACACACACACACACACACACACACACACAAACAACCGATGGCTAGAAAGGCGGGATCCAATAGTCAATGCTCGATCCTGCAGACACAAATAGGTGAGTACACATACAGATCCTTGCGACTGAGCGGACAACGCTCGGGAGTCGTAGTTCAAAGGGGCCGGGTTCGATTCCACACCAAAGTAGAAACAAATGAGAAGTTTCTTTCACCTGATGCCTCTGTTCATCTAGCAGCTGTCTAGCCCCCAGGCACCTGAGGGCTAGACAGTTGCTACGAGCTACAACTTGGGAATGTGTCTGTATGTGAAAAGTAATATATGTAGTAGACGTAGAAAATTAGGTCGGAAATCAGTTTGTTAAACAACATAGGTTAGAAAGGCGGAGTCCAAGTGCCAACAGCTTGATCTTGCAGACACAAATAGTAAATACACACACACATAAACCCACATACATATACTCATACACCCTCACACACAACTTTTCCTAGTATACGTAATCAACCCTCAGCAGGAACTAATTTTTCATATCATGATGGTATTGCGTGAATTCGCACACATCAGTAGCCTAATACTTGCCACCAAACAGATTTTCTGCAGTTTACCGAATCTGAATGAACTAGAGATTTTTCAGTATAACAAAACATATAACTTTTCTTTATATTAACACACTTAGGCACACCTTCATTTATACAAGTACCTTAGACTTTACGAAGAGCTAATATGACACCTTCAATGTTATGCTACAACACCCGTCTCGCGGGACCTTCTCTTGACTCCATCACAACCATTCTATACCAAACTTTTTCAGTAAACCAATGAATTTTATACATATAAAGCCAGGATGACCATTGCCCTAACATCCTATTTTAGTTATCTTATATATATCATGTTACTTCTTATATATATATATATATATATATATATATATATATATATATATATATATATATATATATATATATATATATATATATATATTTTGTTGCCCCGACTTGGAATCCCCATCGCAAAAAAACACATTATAAATTTAGAAGATATGCAACAAGTCTCGTTCTGGAGCTAAGGAAACTTAGCTATGAAAGCTGACTTATGGTACAGGAGGTGCCACACCGGAGGAAGGAAGGAACAGGGTGGAGATGACAACTAAGCCAAACAACTGGTAGACAGAAGTATTGCTAAAAGAGAAGAGCAGCAGCACGGGCGGACAGTCCTGTGGACACTAGAGACAAATGCGTCACGCAGATAGAAAGAACTTTTTCGGAGTAAAAGTTGCAAAATAACTGGAATTCATTATATGAAGAAGCTTGCAAGGTTGAGCGTCGGCTCAACCCTGCAAAAACTACTAGGGGAATGCACATAAGTGAGTATACATACACATACACTCATACGTAAACACATATACATACATATTATGTACATCTACATACAAACATATATCGCAAAAATATAGGAAAATTGTGCCATTATTTCCCTCTTGTGAAGTGTGTGTTAAGGTCAAATAACCAAAAATGCTTTCACTCCTTGAGTCGACTCACCGACGAATATGGCAACTCTCTCAATGTTTCCTGGAAGCTTCGTCGTGTTCATATATAAGGTGAAGCAGCGATTCGACAGCACACACGATTCCTCTTGCCCCACACAGTAGGCACTCAGGCATTGCTCCTTCACCAGACAGCAACATGACTGGCCCAAGGAAGTTCTTCGTGATTGGTAACTGGAAGATGAATGTGGATAGATCTCGCATCGACAACATCGTTAAACTCATGACAGCAGCATCTCTGGACCCCAATACAGGTAAGCATCGTTACTGGTGACAGAAGCCGCTATAGACACGGCTGAGCAATAACATTAGATTGATAAACATGTATTAACAATTCACTTATTATATAAGAAGTTGTTTTTGTGAAAGAATGTTTAATGTTTGTGTTTGTGAACAACAGAAGCCGTGGTTGGGTGTCCCTCGTGCTACTTGTCGTACGCCCGCCAGCAGCTCCCGCCCCAGATTGCTGTAGCCGCTCAGAACTGCTATAAGGTACCAACTAATATTTTCACTTGGAACTCTGATAATTCGTCACTCATACATAGTATTTTTCGTTTTTGCTTCATCAATCATTGTGAAAAATATGCATGCAAGTGGCAAAACTTGATGTTTAAATGTTTTGTTAAACAGGTAGAGAGAGGCAACTTTAGCGGAGAGATATCTCCTGCCATGATCCAGGACTGTGGGTGTGAGTGGGTCATCCTGGGTCACCCTGAGCGGAGGACAATATTTAATGAACCAGATCACCTCATCAGCCAGAAGGTCGCCCACGCCCAACAGGCAGGCATCAAGGTAACATTTCCCACACTTATACTTCCCCAGCTAAACTTTATACCCAGAATTTGAGCAACAGTGACATGTTTTATAATGTGATGCGCCTTTGTTGCATGTTGAACCTGGGAGGGAGATGTAATGTTGCAGTTTTATTGTTGTTGTTGCAGGTGGTGGCGTGTGTGTGCGAGACGAAGGAGGATCGTGAGAGCCAGCGGACGGAGGAGGTGTTGTACGGACAGTTAGAGTCCCTGGCGGCCAGCATCAGTGATTGGTCCCGCGTAGTGATCGCCTTCGAGGCTCTGTGGGCCAGTGGCACTGGCATCTTGGCCACACCTGCACAGGTCCAGGAGGCACTCTCCATGCTGCGGCACTGGCTACGTCACAACGTCTCCCACCACGTGGCCAACACAACTCGTATCATCTACGCTGGCTCAGTTTCCACCGACAATTGTCAGGAACTGGCCAAGTTGAAGGACCTGGACGGATTCCTGGTGGGAAGCGCCGCCCTCAAGCCTGATATTGTTGACATCATCAACGCGAGAAGCTCCCATGTTGCAAGACTTGTTGATATCTTCTCCTCCTATGAGCGCTTGTCTAGGGGAGTGTAAACAAGACGAAGTTACTAACGTCATGTAATTAATTTTATTATTATATTGTTCATCTGTAGTGAATCTGCAGCTGGAACTGATCCTATCACCCATGAGTTCCATCACCCTTTCTAGTATTCCAGTTCGCTATACTTCATGTGAAGCTCTTGTACATAAGTCATTTATACATAATATTTACAGCTTATATATATATATATATATATATATATATATATATATATATATATATATATATATATATATATATATATATATATATATATATATATATATAGAGTACAGATTTTTGTTAGTTATTAAACCCATTGTCTCCCTACTCTGAAATGAAAACAAATATTTAGAAAATTGAGGCTCCCATTACTCTGTGATAATAAAAAATGTATATTCATTATCACGACTCCACTTTGTGTTTGTGTATAGTAGTTTAATAATTGTATATATAGATTTATATTTTTGTATATAAAACTCTTAAATAAAGCAGAGGAATTCTTCATAGTTGAACTGAATAATATTAACACTGGAAGCCAATTTACATATTGTATGTATTTATTTATACATATACAGTACATACGGTAAATCTATTTACTCTAGAGACCTTCTACTGGACACCACATTTACCTGTATTTACCTGAGGGCTGCTGTCTCAAGTGGCCTCGACGAGGACAGGAAGCCGGCGGCTTGTTGAGGTCCCCCCCATTTGTCCTAATGATTTTGTCGCGGTGGATTTTTAAATTCAGCTGCGTTTTGGCATTTACAGGTTTGGCAGGTCGGCGGTTCCATATATAAAATTTATATTCCATTTATAAACCTATGGGTGAAAAAGCATCTCCTGTTTTCTGTCCAGCATTGTAGCTTGTTGAGCTTGAAGCCGTAGCTCCTTGTTTGTGTTACATTTGATCTTTTGAAGAAGTTGCCTGGATCAATAGCCTCCAAATTGTTCAGTATTTTAAAAGTTTCTATGAGATCAGCTCTGTCATGTCTGGTTTGCAGTGTTGTTAGCCCTGAGGCCCTCAACCGTTCCTGATATAAGAGTTGACTTAGTTCTGGAATGATTTTCGTCACCCGATGTTGAATTTTCTCTAAAGCAGATATGTTTTTTTCTGAAGATGAGGTCTTCATGCCTTGATACAATACTCCAGGTGTGGGCGCACCAGAGATTTATACAGATGTACAACTACCTTCTTTACCTTGAAGTCAAAATTTCGTTTGACTATTTCTTTTTTGCTTTTGTTTACTTGTCTTACTGCAACTCAACAACTTCAACGTTGTTGAAGTTGCACCTTCACTGAAGCTTGCAACTCCCAATGCAAGCTTCAGTGAATGGTGGACTCTGACTCCAAGGTCCTTTTCTTCGTCAATCTGCTGCAAATTAATGTTGTTAATTTGGTAGTTGTGACGTTGGTTATTAAATAGCATTTGCCAGTCTTCCGACCATTTGTGGAGTTCATGTAGATCCCGTTGTCAGGCCTCAATATCATTGTCACTTCCTACTTTATATATCTTAGTGTCATCTGGAAGTTTGATAATGTGGCTTGTAATATTCTTATCTATGAGAAAATCAGTAGGAGCCATGAGGAGGATTCGAACCTGCACACTGGGCGAGTACCCGTCCTCTTACAAATTACGTCGCTTTTCTCTCGTATGTGCTACGGCCAAGTAACAACTTAATTCAAAATGGAAATTTATTTTCCAATTAAATTTTGATTTTTTCTCCAAAACAGCAAGTTAAGGGTTCTCTGGTAAGTTAGGAGGGCAGGAAGTTCTCCTAAGGTTTCAATTGTCATGAAAACCGTTAATTGAAAGTTTCCACTCCTAACCTAACAGCCTAAGCCAGAAGACCCAAAACAGAAAACGGGACAGTACGTCACATTCGTGAACCGATTTAATTTTGAATTACGTCGATTTTTAGCCTGAGTGCGAACACGAGTGAAAAGCGACGTAATTTGTAAGATGACGGGTTGTGCTGGTTCCAATCCCCCTGATGGATCCAACGGATTTTCTCGTTGATACATCACGTTAATATGATTCCTTTGGGCATTTTCATCCATGTCATTAATGTATATGACAAGAAGGGTTGGGCCCAAGAAGGACCCTTGCGGTACCCCACTCACCATGTCTCCAGTAACATTCATTTCTGTTTAGGACGACCATTTGCTGTGTTTGTTTTATCAATTCCAGTATTCTACTATTTATTCCGTATGTTTGTAATTTCCTTGCCAGTTTTTCACGATGTACCTTATTAAAACCTTTAGCGAAGTCCATTCATACATCTACTGGGAGTCCTGGGGGACTCCCAGTAGATGTATAGAGGGGACTATACAGTAGAGAGGAGGACTTGCTGGAATGGATTGAAATATTAGGATAGTACTGTGAACAAAGCCTAACAAGGCACGAGCTCATCGTTTTGCTTTAACTATCTGGCCTTGAAAACTGGATTTTGAATGTTTAGTAAGATTTGGACAACTGCTAACAAACTCACCCTTAACATTGACAAAACTTTCTCTATATTTTGTTTGATAATAAATCCTTAGATCAAATTAATCTAAGAACAAACAATATCCAAATTAGTAACAAGGTAGATGGTAAATTCCTTGGTGTCCTCCAGTGCGGTCTGCTGCATGATGCGAGGAGGACGTGTTGCTCCGCATCTTCGTGTTTGCACGTGGCTGCTGCAGCTAGATGTTGTGAATTTGTTCTCGACTGTTGCAGTGATACAGTGCCTTTGTGTATCGAGGAAATGGCTGAGGCGGTCTGCCTAGGTGATGGAAGATCCTGCACTGGGCCTGGAGAGTGTGACAGTGGGGATGGCAGACAGGATGATACTAGGCCGTATCAAGCAGTAGTGAACAGATATAAACGGAGAAATATTCAAAGACAGCGAGACGAGACAGTGAAATAACAAAGAGACCAAAAAATGAAGACATGCTCAGCAGGACGCGGGAGATGCAGACTAATGGAAGGTAGAGGCTGTTGTTCCCAACAGCGTGTCAACTGAATTTTCATGAAAAGCTGGAGTGGACGGTTCGTTTGGCTAAGTAGTTTTTTTTAATATGAACCACTATTCAAGGAGGGTCTTCACCGGCCCTACATAACAGTTGGGACAGAAAAGGCTGTGGAACACCTAACGACGGATGGGTTTGAGAATATTGTGATGGTTACTCCGGAAGAAGGTATGATACACACCAAGGTCATAGTGTTTAAGTATCCAACTTATTTGGATCCTGATTATCTATTGCTCAACAATGATAGTGTTGTTTGGGCAAAGAGGAATAGTGTTCGTGGTGAAAAACAAAGCCAGGTTGTGGCCTTGGTAAAGGGTGAGGCTCCAGAAAGAATTTTTGTGCAAGGACTAGGCTACAGGAAAGTTGCAAAATACATTGAGGAGCCCATATTATGCATGAAGTGTTCTCGTTGGGGACATATGGCTTGGAAATGCCAGTTTGACTCCAGGTGTCGGTACTGTGGTAAGAAACACGACTCTCGAGAGTGTAGAGTCAAGATTAAAAACGGTGAAAAAATCGTCCCATCTTGTTGCAATTGTCGAGGCAGCCACAATGCTGGTTCCTATCTATGCCGCATGAAGCCTCATCTGAGAGAATCTAGGACGGGTGCTACAAGTAGGATAGATGTATCCTCGAAGGAAGGAAAGATTGTGCAGCAGGATCATAGAGGAAACAGCTGGAAGCCAATGGCAGCGCCTATGAACAATGTGTGGGAGAAAGGAACGGAGACACTTAAGGCGAGCCTAGGGAAAGTAGGAAATGCAGCTGAAAAAATTAAACCTTGTGGAAACAAGGTTCAGGACAATATAGTGAACTCTGAGGTTGGTACTCAAATATTGGAATATCTAAAAAAAACTAGACAAGAGGATTGAGGCATTAGAAAAATTAGTTATGGAGGGTAGACGGGGTGAAGATGGTGGTGAAACAGGACGTGAAATGGAAAGTGAAACAGGACGTGAAATGGAAAATGAAACAGGACGTGAAATGGAAAGTGAAACAGGACGTGAAATGGAAAGTGAAACAGGACGTGAAATGGAAAGTGAAACGTGCGTTGAAGAAAGTAAGGAAGAACATGACGTATTGATGATAGAGGATAGTCAGGAAAATGAACTTTCTAGTAGTGTTAGCGTTCAACTTTCTGTAGTGACAAATGTTGAAACAAAGATTAAAGTAAAACGGTATAGAGAAATAAAAAAAAATATAGATATGATATCTGTACTCACTGAATTGTGCGCCCCTTGAGGGACATGAAATAGAGGGGGGTTAGAAATAGCCTAAGCTACTCTACCCCTTTGAGATGTATCTTTTTTCTTGTCATACAACATACAAACATACTTGAACTTGAACTTGAATAAGGAGTGTAAATTATGTAGTATGCCGCACGCCCACACCTTAGAACATTATGTATTAGAGTGTCAACTTATAACTAGAAATAAGGAAATAAGTAGTGTACCACATCAAATTGTTTTGATGTGTGATAATGATATGATAGTATACCTAGGAGCTACAAGAATTTTGCCCCAAGAGTCTAACACTTATATGCTGTGCTTACTATATTAACCTACAACGTTAAATGGGATTCTTGTATTGTGATTTGTATATTTGTACTCACTGAATTTGTGCGCCCCTTGAGGGACTTGAAGTAGAGGAGGGGGGGGGGTTGAAATAGCCTAAGCTACTCTATCCCTTTGAGATGTATTTTTTCTTGTCTCAATAAACATACTTGAACTTGAACTTGAATATTAAGTCACTGCACATCCTCTCATGTGTACTCTATATATTTAAAACTCTGAACTGTAATGTCAATCCTGACCTTAGAAGCTTCCTAGAAGGTTGTAACATAACCCATGGGCACGACACCAGAAACAAATACCTATTTGATATTCCAAGAGTGCGACTTAGCCAAACTAGAAATGCTCTACAAATCAAAGGTCCCAGAATGTTGAATGACCTTCCCAATCATGTCAAAGGCTGTAACTCTCTCAACCAGTTTTGGAGAAAAACTATAAACTACCTAATAAACTCCGTGTAACCTACCTTACCCTCTAAATATAAACCCATATCTTGCTATTTTCAAACAATACTGTTTGTTGACCAACTTGTTTAATTGCTGATTTCTGCCTTATGCCCCCCCTTTCAACACAATATATACTTTGATCTCAATTAGTATTAAGTTTTAGTCTAAGTGTTTTTTTTCCCCACACCTTGCCCACCTTGCCCGGAACGCTGTGCGCATTAGTAGCTTTAGGTATTATATATACCTACACATATATGTTGTATATACTAGCTCTATCTATAAATATAACATTATGTTTGTAACTCATCTTTTATGGATGTACTTTTACCTGAATAAACATTTGAATTTAAAAGAGACCTTCATATTTAACATTAATAAAGTAGTTTGGAACCTTATGGTAAATGATAAAGGGAGTCAATCCCCCGGCAAATTTTCTAATAATTTATAATAATAATTCATTGTGTTGGGGGAC